CACACACACACACACACACACACACACACACACACAGGGAGAGAGAGAGAGAGGGAAGTGACACACAGGCACACGCATATATATGTACATAAGGGCCAGACACATCAGTTCACACAGGCCTGTTTATTGCCCAGAGTTCCTGCAGTAGTAGCATCAGCCAGCAGGGCCCAACCCTCGTGTTATTACAGCACTCGCGGGGAACCAGCCACATTCGATTCACAATTTTGTAAACAGCCTTTGATGTATTGCTGGTGCTGGTGCTGCTGCTGCTGCTGCTGCTACTGCTGCTGATGATGCTGCTGCTGATATTACTGCGGCTGCTGCTGCTACAGACCTAACAAAATAGGTATTTATTAGCTCTTGATATTACCAGGAGTAAGATAATATAGGATTTTACTGATATACGGATTACGGATATACTGATATTACTGCTACTGCTGCTGCTGCTGTTGCTGTTATTGTTGCTGCGGCTGCTGCTGCTGCTGCTGCTGCTGCTACTGCTTCTGCTGCTTTTGCTGCTGCTGCTGCTGCTGCTGCTGCTACTGCTTCTGCTGCTGCTGCTGCTGCTGCTGCTGCTGCTGCTGCTTCTGCTGCTGCTGCTGCTGCTGCTTCTGCTGCTACTGCTGCTGCTGCTACTGCTCTCCCTCCTCTTCCTCCTGCTGCCGCGGATGAGTCTTCAGCAGCCAGCGTTACGTTACGCGTTGCCTGCCTCCCTGCCTGCTCACCCAGTCTCTCCACTGCTGCATTAGCAGGAGAGATGCAGACCGATACCTAGTCTGTCTTTGCACACGTGTTGAACAGCGCAGCATCGGCAGCTGTAGAGGCGCTCCAGAAGCGCTGCCTCTGCTACTACTGCTACTGTTCTGACTACTGCTGTTACCGGTGTGTGTAACCGCGTGTGCGTGTGCGCGGGGCTCTCTGTGTTCGTGATATACGGTCCCGTGTGCAGTGTGCGGGTAAAGAAACCGGCGTTAAAAAAACGAGAGCTTCGTGATAGACAGATGTGTGCTTCATGACCGTGTCTGTCGTAGTTGTAGTAGTAGTACTACAGCCTATACGGACGTACTACGTACGCGTCTCACTACCTGCTCAAGCTTGGATCGGCGAGTCGTCATCACCCGGTTCTCTTTCGTAGTAACGAACGTAGAGGAACTACGTGTGGTGAGCACATGCGCGGATTTCTCTCTTTCTCTCTCTCTCTCTCTCTCTCTCTCTCTTACGTATATATATACGTAGTTATATATCTACCCTATCTCTTTACCTGCCCTCTATATCTCTCTCTTCGTCCTTCACCCACTTTTTGCTCTTCGTAGCTGTCATTGCGCATAGACAATTCGACTCTCTTGCAATAATGATCGGAATCAACCCAAACCACACCCGCTCGGCACTGCACATACACACACCCACGCACGCCGCGCACGCATCCACAGCACGACACACAGCACGGCACATACCACCATACACACACACACGCATACACACGCACACACACACACACACACACACACACACACACACGCACGCACACGCGCGCGGAGAGTGCCATAGTTATTATCTTTGTTGTTGTTTGTGTGCAGCAATGTCGTTCTCATACGTGGTGTCAGCAGCGGCTGCGGGGGCGCGGGTTTCTACTCGGGAATCAGCATTACTATTGGTTTAATAGTCGGGCATTAGCAGGTATGGGTGCGCATGGTTTATTTATTCATTCAATTATATAATCAATTATTTACTCATTATATGAAATCGGAAGTGAATTCTGGTAGTTAATAATGTATAGTGCCGTTGCGGTGTTGAGCGTGGTTAGCATGCGGCCGTGAGTATGTACGAGTGCAAGCTTACGTACATGGGTGGGCGATAGACCCGTGATTTTTATGCGCTGTAGTTATTTCAGTGTCTCATCCCCTGCTCAAATCTGCATGTGAATAATTAGCTGGTGTTATGATTATTGTTACATAAATCTCTCTATGTGTGCGTGTGTATGTGTGCGTGCGTGCATGTTGGTGCGCGCGTGCGTGCATGTGTGGTGCGCGCGTGCGTGTATGTGTGGAGTGTGTGCATGTGCGCGCGCGTGTGCGTATGCGTGTGTATGCGTTTACGTGTGTGTGAGCCTGTACCCGTTTACTCGTCCGTGTGATTTCACGCGGCGGTGGGCAGCAGAGAGCAGGGGTAGAGTTGTAGAAGCTTGTACCCCCAACCACCCACCCATACATGCTTGTTGTTCTTTCTCTCTCTGTGTGTGACCGGCGCAGCGATTGCCTGCTGCATTGTCGTCGAGAGATTGCAGCTATTGTGTCGGTGCTGTTCGACCCGCGCCAGTGCCTCCTGCGCGGTAGCTACACATACACACACGCACACGCACGCACACACACGTACGCACGCACACACACACACACACACACACGTACGCACGCACGCACGCACACACACGCACACGTACGCACGCGCGCACACACCACAGACACACGTACGCACGCGCGCACACACCACACACACACACACACACACACACACACACACACACACACACACACGTGCCCCCCCCCACACACACACACTCTGCCTCCCCCCTACTACGCCAGAAGTAGGAGGGGGTTGTCGACATACCAGGGGCAGCGCACCCGCAGGGTTGTCAACGAACTGGGAGGCGGAGATGGGGACACGGGGTTTTGTGCAGTCGCGCGCGCTCTCTCCCCATCTCCCGTTCTCTTTCTTTCTCTCTCTCTCTCTTTGTTTTTTCTCTCTCTAACTTCTTTTTCTTCCCTCTTTTATCGTTCTCGCCCTCTGCTTTTGAACCTGTGGTAGTTTTCTGCGCGTGTAGGTTGCCTTCCCACAGCCTAAACAGTATACGCCATCCACCGACAACCCATCCCGGAAAAAACGCAGGGAAAAAACCTATGGGATGCGAAACGATTTCTTGTTGCGTTTTTTTGCGTGGCTTTAAAGAAGACGTTCGCTACGCTTCCTGCTCTAGTGTCCCTTTTCCGTGTTCTACTGTTTCTTTCGTGCGTGCGTGCGTGGGTGCGTGCGTGCGTGCGTGCGTGCGTGTGTGTGTGTGAGTGTGGCATGTGTGTGTATGTGTGTGAGGCTGCGTGGGTACGTGTGCGTGTGGTGTGAGTGCCTGTCTTCCTACCTGTCTGTGTGCGGACACTGGCACACTAATTGGTCTCGTTTCGTCTTTATGATCGGGCGTGGACTTAAAAGAGAAAGAGAGAGAGTCGCGTGTGTATACTACAGTAGGACCGAGTTATATAATGGTCAGTCTAGCTACCGACACCGCCCTACACACGCACGCACGCACGCATGCACGCACGAACACACACGTATGCACGCGCACACGCACTCACGCACACAAGCACGCACGTACACGCGCGCGCGCACACACACACACACACACACACACACACACACACACGGCGATGTGGATTGATTCACGTGAGTGAGTCACCTGTCAGTGCTGTTGAAGCAGATGACGATGACGGGGGATTACGGACCTGTATATATATAATGTCGCAGTCACTGCTACCGATGAGCAGATATTGCTGACTATTGCGATCTATTCAGTCGTCTGCTTGTCACGCCCCTCCGCACACGACAGCGGCCAGGTGAGGGCGTGAGCGGGGGAGGGATGGCGTACGGGTTAAACAGTTTATCACGGGGTGGTGCAGGGTATAGGACGTGGTAACAGGGAGTAGTAGGGGGTAGTAGGAGGTAGTATGGGGTAGTAGGAGGTAGTAGGAGGTAGTAGGGGGTAGTAGGAGGTAGTAGGGGGTAGTAGGAGGTAGTAGGGGGTAGTAGGGGGTAGTAGGGGGTAGTAGGAGGTAGTAGGAGGTAGTAGGACGTGGTAGGGGGTAGAAGGGGGTAGTAGGAGGTAGTAGG